AGAGACAGGAGAGATTCACCTGAAGCACATGGAAGCTCATGGTGGTGCTCGGACCTGCAGAACTGAGGCCAGAGGTAGCTGGGGAAGACCTGGACCAGTCCTCACCTTGGAGCTCTCTTCGCTCATGGCCTTCTGGCTGTCCAAGGAAGGAGTGGGAAGGAGTGGCTGGGTACACATGGTACTGGTGCCCAGGCCTGAGCCAAGCCTGAGGACTAGGGCTGGAGTTCCTGGGCCCAGGGGCCTGTTTGGACATGAACAGGTGTCTTTGTCCCTGCCCACAGGCACCACTAGTTTCCACCAAGGCCTTGCAGCTTGCCTCTGTCCTTCTGAGTGTCCCCATGAAGCTGTGGGGGCCCTGGGAGGAGCTCAGGACAGCTGGGATCCACATGGGCTGTGCTCCAGGGGAAAGTGGCCAGGATTTGGGGACCTGGGCCCCAGGGTCCATCAGCCTATCAGGTTCTGGCCTTGGCATACTGGCATTGCATGCTGGCATACTGGAGAGGGCTGATCTTCTGCCTGCTTAGTGGCTGGACACTGAGCCCCTCTTGGGGACCATGAAGAAATACAAGGCACAAGAAGGACCTCAGACACCTCTGCCCTGCCTGTTATGCCTGAGTCTCCAGGGCCCTGGGGCTCCCTGCCTTTAGAGACTGACTGGGTGAGGCTAGGGCCTTCAAGCCAGCAATGGTGGAGCAGCAGGAAGCAACAGGTGCAGAGGAGACCTCCAGGCTGTGTGGGAGAGAGATGCTTCTGGACCAAGCAGCCAGGTGACAGGGCATCCTGAAGGGGCTCATCCATGCAGTTAGGGATCTGGTGGTGGCAGGTGCCACCCGTCTTTGTTGCACCTTTCATGCTCAATCTGCTTCTCATAGTCTCAAAGTAGCTGTTGCTGCTCCGTCTGACATCATATCCCCAAAATCTAAAGAGGGAAAGCCATTTAACTACTCAGTGTATGTGTTGGTGAATCCCTTGGGTTTCTTTTTAGGTATCCTGGGCTAGAATCATCTGAAGCAGTGAGGACCCAGGTGGGCACCTGGACCCCCAGAGATTAGGAGCAGGGCATTGAATGGGAAGTGCTGGCTTTCAGGCCCTGCCCCTCACAGGCAGAGTCCTCCTTTCCCTGCTGAGCAGGCAGCGGCAAACACTCGAGGCTGAAATACCGACACTGGCGCTTTGTGTGCTCTTAGCTGGGCAGAATTGCCTCTTGCCCCAAATCCCCACGGCTGGAGGACCCTCAAGGGAGGCGCCTTCCTGAGTCCTGCATGACAGTGCCCTCAAGCTCTGCAAAGGAGCCCTGCGGTGTCAGCTTGCTCAAAGAGGATCCATGTGAACTGCTCGTGCGTGCAGCTGACACCTTGCTCTGCAGGACAGGCTGGGGGCAAGGAGGTTAAATTGGACAGGAATTAATGAAGCTTCAGATGGCAGCTGGCAAGTCCAGGGAGCAGGCTGAGAGCCTGGCCCAGCCTGGGGGGGCCCAGGCGGTCCCTGCCTGGTTTGCAGGGGCTCTGTGCACCCTGTCTCATCTTCTGAGTCCCTGTAGGGGGTGCTGCATGAGGCCCAGGACAAGGGCCCAGCCAGGGAAGGAAGTCATTAGCCATGTCTCTCCAGACCCTACCCCACCTGTCTGAGCTATGGCCTCCACAGCTGCCCATTGCTGTCCTCACTCAACAGCTGGTGGCCTTGACAACATCCAGGGACACTGCTGGGCTGCACCCTTTCCATCTCTTGGGCTAAGGCAAGCACAGCGCCTGTCTGTAGGCTAAGAGCCTCTGGGCCCTCTCTGCAAGGCAGGGAGCACATAGAGGGAGCCCTGCTGGCCCTGTGGGGGGACAGGTTCTGGTCAGGAGTGCCAGGCACTGGCATGGGTACTGGCGTGGGCGCCGAGCACAGCAGGGTATACACCAGGCCCAGGAAAGAGGCTGAGTTGATTGTGGGCAACTGCTCCTGGGGCCAGCTCTGCTCAAGGCTGGCCCTGTTTCTGTCTGCAGCTGCTGCCACTGCCTTGTCTGTGTCCTGCACTTTCCACTGTGGCCCTCTCCCAGCCCTGGCTCTCACTCCTGAGCCTCCTCCTTGCCACTTGTCCCCTCCCCATCAACCCTCCCCCCACCATGGAGGCTGGGTCCCTGGGGTGTGAGTCACAGCTACCTGAAGCCTGGGGCAGTGCCATCTGTCACTGAGTCCAGCCAGTGTGGATTCCAAACTTGCCTTTCATCTTGCCTGAGTCCCTGTGTGTCTTCTTCCCAGGCCAGGATGGCATTGCCCAGGGGTCCCTAAAGCAGATGTGGGGCAGAGCAGGCAGACTGCAGAGGGGGAAGGAGCTGGCGGTGCTGGCCCTCCAGGGGCAAAATCCAGAGAAACAGGCAGGAGCTGGGCAGCCAGCTTGGCTCTTGGCCAGGATGGCCACCATGGAACCTCGATCAATCCAGGGGCCCGAGGCCAGCACCCAGAGTCACATAGGTGCCTTGGCACTGGCGCTCAGCTTCTGTGCCGCTCACCATGAGGTCACAACTGGCAAGGGCTCAGGCCAGCATGATGGCTCTCAGGGCAGGGCTGTGTCCACACCAGGACAGCTGTGGACTTCCATGCCCCCAGCATGGATGCCGGCTTGCTTTTCTGGCGAGCAGCGGGCAATGGATGGATGGCACAGGGTGATTCTGCTCAGCAGCCATCTCTACCAGCACCTGAAGCCTCTTGGATGTACATTTGCTCCTTGGCCCAGAAAGGAGGATTCTGGCTCCTGAGGGTACTGTGCCAAACACCGCCTTCCATCATGCCAGTACTGTGCTGGCAGGGTGGAGAGACGCCTGGGTCAGGAGGGGAGGCAGGCACCTTGCTCGCTCCCTCTGTGGTGCATCCCATCCTTAGTCTGAAGTTCCTCCTACAAGCCAGGTGTGGCGCACCTGTCATCCAGTGACTCCAGAGGCTGAGGCAGGAGGATCTAGTAATTCAAGGCCAGCCTGGAGACAAAGTGAAGCCCTGATGCAAAGCACAAAACACCAAACATTCTTCTTATGTAATATAAAATTGCCATATGATGGTTCGGTTTCTGCCTGGGAGCTCTGATGCCTTTCTCATGTCGACTGCTGACCCCCTGCTGGCCTTTCTGTGCCTATGTTTGGCTGCATTTTTCTCAGAAGCACACAGAGACTGTTCCTTCTCTTCAGGTAGAAGGTGCCCTGGGAGTGGTGCCTCCGCTGCCAGCAGGTCTGACTGACCCTGTTGTCTGTGGAGAACGCTTCCTCACCAGGGGCAGAGGTACATGCCTGCACCCCAGGACTCTGGGAAGCTGAGGCAGGAGGATTTCAAATTCAGCTCTTGCCTAGGCAACTTAATGACTTATCATATCTCATCTTCATGTATGGGCTAGACTGAGTTCACGTCTTGAAATCTTACAGTCACTGTGGAATCTGTGTACCTAGGGCA